TGCATCTGCTAGAAATAGATTCAAAGGTCAAACACGTCAGCTGGAAATCTCTACGTAAGACTGAGTCCGTCCGTCCATCCATCCATTTAGTTTGCTGTTGGGGGGTAAAGATCCTCCTTTATGTTCTTTGTGCCAGAATCCATTATCTTTGAAGCATATTTTGATGGATTGTTATAGTTTAAAGTCTGTCAGAACTCTTTATTTTTCTGTTGACTTTTATTGAAAGATTTTTAATGAAGGCCAGATTTAGTTTTAGAATTTTTATCTAAGATCAAATAAAAAAAAACTTAATTTAACTTAACTAACCTCGTGCTCGCCGTGAATATAGCCGGGGTAGCTCGCATAGCGTTAAATCATAAACAAACAAACAAAATCTATCGTTCTGTCGTGCTATCTATCATTCTATCATCTGTCCATCTATCGTTCTATTATTCTATCATTCTATCTATCATTCTATCATCTGTCCATCTATCTATCGTTCTGTCCATCCATCCATCCATCATTCTATCTATCTATCATTCTATTGGTTGGTCTATTGTTCTATAATTTCATCCATCCATTCGTCGTTCTATCTGTTGTTCGCTCTATCGCTCCATCCATCCATTGATCTGTTGTTCTATCTGTCGTACTACCATTTGTATAAATATTAATACATTTACAAGTTTTACAATTTACATTCATTCATCTGTCCATTCATCCATCCATCAAAAAATTAAAAAAACTGAAGATTTTACATTGTTCGTTGTTTAGACTGTTGGACCTGAGGTGGATTGGCAATATGGCATAACAGACGCAGTTTTCAGGTTATGCTGATCTCACAATGTCATTAAAAAATCATCATATTCAGTATGTCTTTACATCATTACCTGTAACGTAACATCAAGATCCTTTTAAATCTCCATTTAGCAACTCTAAACGGCTACAAGTGGTTATGGAAGAGGGTTTTGTTGAATCTGAGAACTATTGAAACCCTCTTGACTGAAACCATGTTAACGTAAGCTGTGGCTCCTTAAGAAAACTAAAATGAAAATCTCTGATCGGGTTGAGAGCTTCTTCAGTGGTTCTCTCAGACCTCAGCTTTTCATTGCTAAAAATGTCACCTCCTGTGGCATTACATCACATACGCAAAGCGAGGCGTGGATAAACATGGGTGTGTGTTTTGCATGCTGTGTTTCTTTCTCTTTCCGGGTGTGTGCTCTGTTACGCTCCTCACACAGCATCCTGCTGGAGTGTGTGTTATTTCAGCGCTGCAGGCCACGTTTAATAAAAGTGATGCTCGCTTGTTTGAATTCTGCTTTGCTGTTCGATTAGTGTAACTTTATCACAGGATTTAAGGATATTTAGCTCAAGGTATTCCCAAAACATGCCACTTCCTTCTGGTTTTCATATAATATTAAACCACGGAAAGACGTTGGGTTTTTGTTGTTGGTAAATGTGTTAAGCAATACCTCATGTAATGAAAAGCAGGACATATTTAAATATTTACAGAGGGATTCTTCCCCGCTGAACTTTTCCAAATTAATCTCTTATCAAACAATGACTTTAGCTGGCTGGTATCGGTGGAGATGCTTCAGAGATGCTTGAGCGCTCAGCCGGATCACGAACACCTCAGGTTTCCATAAGACCAGAGGACGATCATTCTGTCATTGTGACGGGATATGCATCTGAGAAACTCATCCATCATTAAAGTCAACATGAAATCAAAATTAGCCTTTTGGCTGTTTACTTTCTTAAACCATACTTCTGGTCTTAATGCGAATTATTCAGCAATGCATGTTATTCCAATGAAACCTATGTTTGACTTAATCATTTTTTAAATAATTTTAACTTTTGCTGCCTCTAAAAACAGACAAAAATGCTGTAGAATTTACTTTGAAACCATTTTTGTTCAGAAATTGTGAGTAGATTTCACACATACTTACAAAGATGTGGCAAGTAACACACTGAATTAAACATTTATTTTATTTACTTAAACTTGAAATATCTTTTTTTTTTTTTTAGTGATGCAGATTTTTCATGAGAATTATTCAATAAAAACTGAAATGCTATTTTTTTAATGTGTATTCCAAGAATATTTGTTTTATTTACTTGGAAACTTAAGTAAACTTAAGAGAAATAATTTTTACAGTGATGTTTTTTTTCATGTAAAATATTAAATATTTCAATTAGTTAACTTTTTACTTATGTCAATATTTAAAAATATATATATATTTTTAAGGTGCCTTAAAGGGATAGTTCACACAAAAATGAAAATTTGATGTTTATCTGCTTACCCCCAGGGCATCCAAGATGTAGGTGACTTTGTTTCTTCAGTAGAACACATTTGATGATTTTTAAGTCCAACCGTTGGAGCCTATCAGTCTTATAATGGATGGCAATGGAAACAAAGCCTATGAGTGTTTAAAAAAACATGCACAGGCAAATCCAAATTAAACCCTGCGGCTCGTGACGACACATTGATGTCCCAACACACGAAACGATCGATTTGTGCCAGAAACCGAACAGTATTTATATAATTTTTTACCTCTAATACACCACTATGTCCAACTGCTTTGGGCGCGCGCACGGCTTCCGGTGCGTGAGATGTGTACGCGCTCTGGCGTAGTTTACGTTAATGGGCGTGTTGTCGCGGGAGGAGCAAACGACAGACACCGTTTATTAACAGAAAATAAACAAATTGTCCAGAAAAAAGGGAATCAAGTGTCCAAAATAAACAGGGGATCTGGTGTCCTCGTCATGCTGCGGGGTTCGTGAAGGGAAGGGCAGTGGTCAGGAAGGAAGGAAGGGTCCAGGTAAGGGGTGGAGTCTGGCGGCCGCACGCGCTCCCCTCTCCGGTCCGGGGCGTGAGGCGCGGCTCCAATCACACGCCGCCAGCCCTGGCTATTTCAGCGCCCCTCTTCTCTCACACACCCACTCATGTCAGGAGCCTGGCGAAGGGCGGCGATTAAGAGATGGGGTGATGCTGATAATTAGGGGGAGGCAGCCGACTCGTCACAGTGTGTTGATATCCAGCCGAAGAGCAATCGACCATAACTTCAGGCGAGCAGGCTCAGAAGTCGGTTTGAACAATCCGGATAAGCCCAAGTAAGTACAATTTTGATTAGCCGCCGTACCTACAATGACTGTGCACTGTGTAAACAATGAGTGACGTATACGCGCGAGCGATCACTTCCGGCGCTTGCGTAAACTCGTAAACTACGCCAGAGCGCGTACACATCTCACGCACCGGAAGCCGTGCGCGTGCTCAAAGACAGTTGGACATAGTGGTGTATTAGAAGTAAAAAATTATGTAAATCCGGTTCGGTTTCTGGCAAAAACCGATCTTTTCGTGTCTTAGGACATCAATGTGTCGTCACGAGCCATAGGGTTTAATTTGGATTTGTCTGTGCATGTTTTTTTTACTCTCATAGACTTTCTTACCATTGCTATCCATTATACGACTGATAGACTCCAACGGTTGGACTTAAAAATAATCAAATGTGTTCTACTGAAGAAACAAAGTCACCTACATCCTGAATGTCCTGGGGGTAAGCAGATAAACATCACATTTTCATTTTTGGGTAAACTATCCCTTTAAGCCTTCTTTTGTTTCCGCAGACGGTTTCCTCTTTTGTTTTTTTATCCGCCATCTCTATCTTTCTGTCGTCACTCGGCTCGGCTAATGTCCATCCTGTGCACTGAACGCTCTCTCCTCCACATCATGAGTAGACACGCCCCTTACTGCTGATTGGCTACAAGTTTGTTTTGGTGCTTGGCCGACTCTTTTCGTTTTCTAAAGTGTTTTTGAAAAAATACATACCCCACCTTTAATTAAAAAAACAAAAACACACAAACAAACACGCGCACACACACACACACACACATATATATGTATGTTACTTATGAAAATGTCATCATTCGACCTAGATCCTATCAGAACTAAACAAGCTGAAGTGACACTGTGTGTTTTACTGTCTCTAGTCGTATGGATGCATGTGCAGCTGTGGTTTGCTGTGTTTTCTGAGTGCTGGTGTTGTGTGATGCTGGAGATTATGTGGCGTTACCTGTGAGGCCACAGCCGAGTGTTGGGGTGGAGTCTGATGGGTGGAGTCTGATGAACGTCAGCTGCGTTCGTTTGACAGGAAGCTTTTTTACATCGAAGCAGATGAAAAGTGTTGATATCATCAGAATGCTGCTAAGAAGGAAGGAATCCGTTAATAGTTCCTATTAGTTAATAATAATAATAATAATAATTATTATTATTATAAAGTATTGTTTATTAATGATGATGATGATGTATTATTGAATCATCCTCATTATATTTTATTTAATATGAATAAAGTAATTATCACATTTTTAAATAAATATTAAGTGTGTGTGTATATATGTATGTGGCATACATAGTATATACACCCAATATATATATATATATATATATATATATATATATATATATATAAATTATATTTTTAGTATTATAATTTTGTTGTGTTTTCTGTCATTTTTATAGCTTTTTATTAGATTGTTATATTTAATATATAGTCTACATAAGTTTGTATTTTTCATTTTTTTTAATTTATGTAGTTTGTTATTTTAGCACTTCAGTTACTAATTATTTATGAAAATGAAAAATGTTGCCTTGACAGCTAGCAAAAATAAATAAAAAAATGATTTATGTTTTTAAATATTTGATTTCAAATAACAGCTTTTTATGGTTTTAGTTATAATAACGTAGAATTTTGTCTTAAATTTGTAATGTACTTGGAGGAACAAAACATGTATTTAAATAACATTGTACATCAGTAATGTAATGATCCAGTGCCGCTGGTTACCAGCATTTTGTAAGAGTGTTGTATGTTTAGTGTGTGTGTAGTGGAAAATGTGTGTGTGTTTCTGCATGGTGTTAGCAAGCCAAATCAGTGTTTTGACATGTTGCTGCACGACATGCAAATCTGTCGATTACTGTCCCTTTGTGCTTTAAAAGCCTTAATGTAATAATTATGTGTCTTTTCTGGGAGCAGAGGGTCTCTCAGGATGAGTGCTCGAGCGCGGGCCACTTCCCAGGGTTCTCTGGAGGAGCCAGATGACGAGGTGGTGCCCTACAGCGACGACGAGACAGACGACGAGTTACAGTCGGAAGATGATCTGGATCGCAGCGAAGACCAGCTCCCGGAACCGGAAACCATACCCGCACCTGCCGCCGGTGAGCTTGAGGACGGATCTGGTGTGAAAGTGTCCTGTCAGCAGTGTTGGGGAAAGTTACTTTTAAAAGTAATGCATTAC